CAAGGATGGCGGCCACTACACCCTCTTGGCTGAGAATTTGCAGGGCTGCGTCGTCTCGTCCGCTGTGCTGGCCGTCGAGCCGGCCGCCGAGACTGCCTACGAGCCCAAGCCCGTGGATTCGATGGCCGAGCAGCTKGAAGTCGGCAAGGCTTTGCCGCCCACTTTTGTGAAGGCCTTCAGCGAACGCGAAGTCACCGAGGGACGCATGACGCGTTTCGATTGCCGTGTCACCGGCAATCCCTATCCCGAGGTATTCTGGTTTATCAACGGCCGTCAAGTGCGCGACGATGCTTCGCACAAGATTCTGGTCAACGAGTCCGGCAGCCATTCGCTGATGATCACGAACGTGAGCCGTCTAGATGGCGGCTCCGTTCAATGCTTGGCCCGCAACAAGGCTGGTGAGGTGGCCATCGAGGCGCCGCTGCATGTGCTGGAGAAGGAGCAGGTTGTCGCACCACAATTTGTGCAGCGCTTCAGCACGATGACAGTGCGCGAGGGTGAGCCCATCACCATGAGTGCCAATGCCATTGGCACGCCAGTGCCGCGCATCACTTGGCAAAAGGATGGAGTACAAATCTCATCAACTGCCGAACGTTTTGTGGGCATCGATGGYGGCGCCACCTGCCTGGAGATACCGCAAGTTAAGGCAACTGATGCTGGCTGGTATCAGTGTACCGCACAAAATATTGCCGGTTCCACAGCGAACCGCGCAAGACTCTATGTCGAAGTTCCCAGAGAGCAACCAAGTCAAGAACAAAGGCGTCTTAATCTACCAAGACCAACGAAAGTTATCGAGCCTGAGTAAGATCTCTTAAATTGTTAAACATATGGAATTTTTGCATTGAACTGCTTCATTCTGTTTCTAGGCCAATCCCTGGGCCAGAGATTATTTATTTGCGCCATGTGGAACGCGCCAAACCCCATCCGCGTCCCGGCGAGGAGGATCGCGTCTATCCTCCGCCACAGTTCATCATACCATTGCAGAATGTGCAGCAGACTGAAGGTGGTCGAGTCCACATGGAGGCGCGCATCGAACCAGTCGGCGATCCCAGCATGGTCGTTGAGTGGTATCTCAATGGTCGTCCCCTGGCAGCCAGTAAGTAACTCAAGCTCGAATCCCGTTTACTTTATGTCTTATCTCTGGTTTTCTTGCTTTCACAGGTGCACGCGCCACATCTGTCTTCAAGTTTGGCTTCATTGCTCTGGACCTACTGAGCATTATGGGTCACGATGCTGGAGAATATATGTGCCGCGTCAGCAATGCCAGCGGCGTGGCTGAGTCGCGCGCCATTTTGTCGGTGGTGCAGCGACCATCCATTGAGCAATCGTCGCAGAATCCGAACAGCTTGCAGTACATCAATCAGCTGGAGGATTACTCTCGCTATCAGCGCCAGGAGAGCTCAGAGGAGTTGATGAATCAAGCTCCACAATTTATACGTCCCCTGCGCGATCTGGGTGAGTTCGAGGAGGGCAAGAATGTGCACTTCGAGGCACAGGTGACCCCCGTGAATGATCCCAGCATGCGTGTGGAGTGGTACAAGGATGGCTTGCCAATCACCGCCAGCTCGCGCATCACGGCTATATTCAACTTCGGCTATGTCTCCCTAAACATATTGCACCTACGCGCCGAAGATGCGGGCAGCTACACCGTCCGTGCCGTRAATCGCATTGGCGAGGCCATCAGCCAGTCCACCATTCGCGTGCACTCGCGCTCCCAGGTCACCGCCGATCTGGGCATACCCGAGCAGCAGCGTTACATTGAGAAGGTGGAGGAATTGGAGGACTATCGCAAGTCTCAGCAGCGCCGCCAAGTTCAGGAGGCACCTGAGGCCATTGCGCCACCCCAATTCCAGACACCCATCCAGAACCAACTGGACCTGCGAGAGCACGCGCATGCGCACTTCGAGGCACGCCTCGAACCCATTGGCGACTCGACCATGCGCGTGGAGTGGCTCAAGGATGGGCAACCCCTTGAGGCCAGCTCGCGCATCACTACTTACCACAACTTTGGCTACGTCGCGCTGACCATCAAGCAGATAACCATCTATGATGCCGGCACCTACACCTGCCGCGCCTACAATGCCATGGGCCAGGATACAACCACGGCCCAGTTGACGGTCATATCGAAGAACGAGATCGTCTCGGACACGCAGCATCCGGGTGGCCTGCAGAAGATTCAGCATCTGGAGGACTCGTCGCGTTATGGTCGCCGCGAGGAGGAAGAAACCTCCATCACCCAGGCACCACGCTTCCTGGGCCCCCTCAAGGGCACCACCAAGATCTTGGAGGGTCAACGCGCCCACTTTGAGGCGCGTGTCGAGCCACAGAGCGATCTGGGCCTCCGCATCGAATGGTACCACAATGGACGTGCCATCACAGCTGCCAATCGCATCCAGACCTACTACGACTTCGGTTACGTTGCCCTGGACATTTCTCAGGTGCGCGCCGAAGATGCCGGCGTCTACACTGTGGTGGCTAGAAACAAGCTAGGTGAAGCTCAGTTGCAAGCAACGATGGTAGTGGAAAGTAAGTAGAAGGAATTCGAATTAAATTGCTCATCATTTAACYCAAACATTTGCATTACAGCTCGTTCCAACATCGACACATCTAGCATGCATCGCGGCCTCTATGAAAAAACACAGAATCTGGAGAACAAGCAATTCGTCGAGCCCCAATACGATATTGAGGAGATCTCCAAGTCAAAGCCCGTCTTTGTGCAGCCGCTGACCGATCCCAAGCCCATTCACGACGGCAAGAATATTCATCTGGAGTGCCGTCTCGAGCCCATGGGCGATCCCACAATGCGCGTCGAATGGTTCCATAACGGACGCCCCGTAACCGTTGGCTCACGTTTCCGCACCTACTACGACTTCGGATTTGTCGCCCTGGACATCATCAAGGCTACGGCAGCCGACTCTGGCGAGTATACCGTGCGCGCCACCAACCACCTGGGCACCGCTCACACCTCGTCATGTGTGCGTGTGATTGATCGCAGCGATGTGGTGACCGAGACCCAGAACGAGCAGTCGCTGGAGCAGATTCAGCTGCTTGAGGACTCGCGTCGTCGCCACCACCAGGAAGAGGATATTACCATCATGCAGGCGCCTCAATTCACACGCGCGCTGCATAACATCGAGACCGTTGAGGGCACCAACGTGCATCTGGAGTGCCGCCTGCAGCCAGTGGGTGATCCCAGCATGCGCATCGAGTGGTTCGTCAACGGCATGCCGGTAAAGACGGGCCATCGCTTCCGTCCCGCCTACGAGTTTGACTATGTGGCGCTGGACTTGCTTGGCTGCTATGCCATTGACTCGGGCGTCTACACGTGCCAAGCCCGTAACCAACTGGGCGAGGCTGTCACCTCCTGCTCCGTGCGCATTATTGCCAAGAAGGATTTGATTCTGGAGACTCAGAACGAGTCTGGCCTGCAAAAGATTCAATACTTGGAGGACTCCTCACGCTATCGTCGTCATGAGGACGTGGATGAGGTGGTCAATATTCGCCCCCGCTTCCTGACCCATCCGAAGAGCCTGACCAACACACGCGAAGGCGGTCACGCCCACTTTGAGTGCAAAATTGAGCCCGTCACCGATCCCAATCTGAAGGTGGAGTGGTTCAAGAACGGTCGTCCCATTACCGTGGGCCATCGTTTCCGTCCCATTCATGACTTCGGGTACGTGGCCTTAGATATTGTTGGCTTGATTGCTGAGGACTCCGGTATTTACACCTGCCGCGCCGTCAATTTGATTGGCTCCGATGAGACTCAGGTGGAGCTGCAATGCCGCAGCGGCGAGCAAATCGTCACAGTGACCCAGAACGAAGCTGGTCTCGAGCAGATTCACTATCTGGAGGATCGCTCGCGCTACAGCCGCCGCGAGGAAGTCGACGAGACCACCAAGCAGGCGCCAGTGTTTACAACCTCCCTGAAGAACATTGAAATCAAGGAGAATCAGCGTGCTCACTTTGAGTGCCGYTTGATTCCCGTCTCCGATCCTTCGATGCGTGTGGAGTGGTACCACAATAACATGCCTCTGAAATCGGGCTCGCGTTTCACTGAGACCAACAACTTTGGCTTCGTGGCCCTCGATATTATGTCCACACTGCCCGAAGATGCCGGCACCTACACCTGCCGTGCTTTCAATGCTGTGGGCGAGGCCATAACATCTGCTGTTGCCGTGGTGCACACCAAGAAGTCCATCTATCTGGAGTCTCAGCACGAGACTGCATTGCCGCGACTGCAGCACCTGGAGGATGGCTCCAAGCGCCAGCGCGTCAGCGTACAGGATGAGTTCGTTTCGCAGGCTCCGGTCTTTACCATGCCCGTGCGGGATGTGCGTGTGGCCGAGAACCAGGCGGTGCACTTTGAGGCCCGCCTTATTCCCGTGGGCGATCCCAAACTCACGGTCGAATGGCTGCGCAACGGTCAGCCCATTGAGGCGTCCAATCGTACCACCACCATGCACGATTTTGGCTACGTGGCTCTGAACATGAAGTATGTGAATCCTGAGGACTCTGGCACCTACACCTGCCGTGCGGTCAACGAGCTGGGTCAGGCTGTGACGTCTGCGTCGCTGATTGTGCAGTCGAAGACTGCCATTCAGATGGAGACGCAGCACGAAGCTGCCATGCACAAGATCCATCAGCTGGAGGATCACAGCAAGTACCAGCGCCGTGAGGAGGAGGAATACACCGTTACCACGGCGCCAATGTTTGTCACCAAGCTGATCGGACCCACCAATCTGGTTGAGGGCCAGAGTGCCCACTACGAGTGCCGCATCGAGCCCTACCCAGATCCGAACCTGAAGGTCGAATGGTTCCACAACGGCAAGCCCTTGAGCACCGGCCATCGCTTCCGCACCACCTATGACTTTGGYTTTGCCGCACTCGACATCCTCACCGTCTATGCGGAGGACAGCGGAGAATACACTTGCCGTGTGACTAACAATCTGGGCGAGGCCGTCAGCTCGATCGCACTCAACGTCACTACCCGTTCGTCGATTATTCATGAAACGCAGCATGAGGAGGCTCTGCACAAGATCCAGCATCTGGAGGATACCTCTCGCTTCCAGCGCAARCCTGAAGAGGATCAGTTCCACGCTGAGCGCCCACAGTTTGGACGCCCACTGCGCAATGCCAAGGTCAATGAGGGCACACCCGTGCATCTGGAGGCAACACTGATCCCAGTTAATGACCCCACCATGAGGGTCGAGTGGTACTGCAAYGGCAGACCCATCCAAACGGGTCACCGTTTCAAGACSACCTACGATTTCGGCTTTGTCGCCTTGGACATATTGTACGCCCACGCCGAGGATACCGGCACCTACATGTGCAAGGCCAAGAATGCTGTTGGGGAAGCTGTCACGACTTGTGCTGTAAACGTAACAGGTAAGCTCATAGCCCATACACAAATTTCACCTAATGCTAATCACCTTCAACTTGTAGCAAATAAGACACTGGATCTGGATACACTCGATGCCCAGCGGCTGGAGAAGATTCGTCAGCTCGAGAGCTATGCGCCACCCGTAAAGGCCGAGGTGGAGGAGAAGGGGCAGAAGCCAATTTTCCTCACTCCACTTAGCAATCTGGAGCATCTGAAGGAGGGCGAGCACGCCCACTTGGAGTGTCGCGTTGAGCCCATCAACGATCCCAACCTGAAGATCGAATGGTTCTGCAATGGCAAGCAACTGCCCACCGGACATCGTTATCGCACCACCCACGACTTTGGCTACGTGGCCCTGGACATTTTGTATGTTTATGGCGAGGACACTGGCACCTACATGTGCAAGGCAACCAATTTCCTGGGCGAAGCAGTCAACACCTGCAATGTCCGTGTGCTGAACAGACGCAGCATGATTCTGGACACCCAGCACCCGGATGCTTTGGAGAAGATTCAGAAATTGGAGTCCAAGGTTGTTACCACCCGCACCGAAGTCGGCGATCATCCAATTGGCCCGCCCCACTTCACCGCAGATCTGCGCGGCTCCACTGAGATCTATGAGGGCCAAACGGCTCACTTTGAGGCACAGGTGGCGCCAGTGCATGATCCCAACTTGCGCATCGAGTTCTACCATAATGGCAAGCCTCTGCCATCGGCTGCCCGCTTCCACATCACCTTCGACTTTGGCTATGTCTCCCTGGACATTACGCATGCCGTGGCCGAGGATGCTGGCGAGTATTCCGTGCGTGCTGTTAACGCTTTGGGTCAAGCCGTCTCTTCGACCAATCTGCGCGTGATTGCCCGCGGCACCATTATTTCGGACACCCAGCATCCTGAGGGTCTGGAGAAGATACGTAAGTTGGAGTCTACGGCACCACACCAGCGCCAGGAGGTCGAAACGCCTGGCACACGCCAGCGACCCATGTTCACCCAACCAATTCAAAACATTGATCGCATCAATGAGCACCAGACTGCCCACTTTGAGGCGCGCCTGATTCCAGTGGGCGATCCCAACTTGAAGGTCGAATGGTATCGCAATGAGAAACTAATCGAAGACAGCTCCAGAATCACCAAGCAGCACGACTTTGGCTTTGTCTCCCTCGATATATCGCACATCCGCAAGGAGGATGAGGGCGTCTACATGTGCCGCGCTGTCAATCCACTTGGCGAGGCCGTCACTACCGCCTCTATGCGTGTGGTTACCGAGGCCACCATCCAAATGGATACCCAGCATCCAGACAGCATTCGTCGTATTCATCAGCTGGAGAAGCCTCTGGCTCCACTACCCACCGAGCCTGAGCGCCTCTTCGAGAAGCCCATCTTCACGCAGCTACTGACGGGTCCCTCCGAGGTATGGGAGGNTGCCCGTTGGTGATCCCTCACTTAAGTTCGAGTGGTTCATTAACGGCGTTGAGCTGCAAATGGGCTCACGCCTGCGCACCACCCACGACTTTGGCTTTGTCACTCTCGACATTGCCGCTGTGGTGCCTGAGGATGCTGGTGTCTACATGTGTCGCGCTTTCAATGCCGCTGGCGAGGCTGTGTCCTCGACTGCCATGAAGGTGAAGACCAGGGCCAACATCGACGGACAGCCCCTGATACCCGAGTCCTGGGAGGCCATTCGTCTGAAGGAGGCCGCAATGAACCGTGTGCCCGAAATGTTTGTGGACTCTACGCCTCAGCAAGCTCCAGTGTTCACGACGCATTTGCAGAGCTACGACAAGCTGCACGAGGGCCAGCATGTTCATCTGGAGGCTCAGGTGGAGCCTCGCGCCGATCCTAATCTGCGCATTGAGTGGTTCAAAAACGGCATCTCACTGACCACGGGCTCACGTATACGCAGCACCTTCGACTTTGGACTGGTTACCTTGTCCATCAATGGACTGCGCGAGGATGACTCCGCTATTTACACCTGCAAGGCCACCAACCAGGTGGGCGAGGCTGTGTCGACCTCATCGCTCAAGATCGAAGATCGTCATTGGCTACAAGCGGAGTCCTTGCATCCGGACTCATTGCCACGCATTGGCGAGCTGGAGGCGCCAAAACCGGTTCGTAAGGACGCACCAGAGCCCACATACGAGACTCCGGTATTCATCACGCATCTGAACAACATCGAGTGCAAGGAGACGGACAGCGTTCGCTTTGAGTGCAACGTGGAGCCGGCCCGTGATCCCACCATGAATATCGAATGGTACTACAATGGCCAACCGTTGCAGGCAGCTGCCAAATTCAAGTCCATTTACGACTTTGGCTACTGCGCCCTGGACCTGAATAACTCGTATGCCGAGAACAGCGGCATCTACACTTGCAAGGCCACAAACAGCAAGGGCTCGGCCACTACCTCGGGCACATTAAAGTGCACAGGCGGCAAGACCATGTTCCTGGACACTCAGCATCCACAGGGCGAGAGCGGACTGGAGGCTGTGCAAGAAACAGAAGAAGCATTGGCCAATCGCTATGCCCAGAAGCCAAACAAGCCAGAAACTCAATACCCAGCACCAGTCTGGACGAGGCCATTGCAGCAGGAGTTCCATCTATCCGAGGCGCAGCCGATCCATTTGGAGGCCAACGTGGAGCCGAAGGAGGATCCAAATCTGTTCATCGAATGGTACTTCAATGGCAAGCTGCTGCAGCATGGCTCACGCTTTAAGATGACCAGCGAGTTTGGCTTCGTCACCATGGACATGACTGAGGTGTACTCTAGAGATCAGGGCATCTACACTTGCAAGGCCTATAACAGGGCTGGCGAGGCTTTCACTTCCACCACCATATTCTGCTCAAGCAAGGACAGCATCATTGAAGCCACACAGCATCCCAAGGGYGCWGAAGGTCTGGAACAGATTCAGGACTTGGAGGAGTCACTACGCAAGGAYGGCAGCAAGCCGGAGCAGCCCGAGCAGGGCATTGCACCACGCTTCACCACCGAATTCGTTAACATTGCTGACATTGGTGAAGGTGAGTTGGCCCATTTCGAGGCCAATCTCATTCCTCTGGGCGATCAGAGCATGGTCATTGAATGGTTCTTCAATGGCAAAGTTCTTGAGGCCAGCCACCGCGTGCGCACCATCTACGCCTTTGGCACCGTCGCCCTGGAAGTGCTGGGCACCAAGATCGAGGACACCGGCACATACACCTGCCGTGCCACCAACAAATACGGCTCAGCTGAGATCAGCTGCACGCTGGAGTGTGTCGACAAGCCTCGTGGCCAGAAACCGCACTTCACGTCGCACATTCAGCCGCTGCAGGGCCTGAAGGATGGCCAGTCCGCTCACTTCGAGTGCACCTTGATTCCGGTTAATGATCCGGATCTTAAGGTCGAGTGGTACCACAATGGCAAGCTGCTCCGTCACTCAAACCGCATCAAAACGGTATCCGACTTTGGCTACGTGGTCCTCGATATTGCCTAYCTGCAGGATCACGAYAGTGGCGAATAYGTTTGCCGCGCCTACAAYAAGTACGGCGAGGACTTCACTCGCACCACTCTTAACTGTGGTGGTCGCGGTGGCGTGTTCTACGACAGCTTGCAGCCTGATTCTCTCCAAMGRATCCGTGAGCTGGAGTGCCCGCAGGGCCAGCAAGCGGACAGTGGTGCTCCAGTGGTTGCCGAGCCACCCAAGTTCATCACACAAATCAGTGATGTCACCAAGCTGGTGGAGGGCCAGAGCGCTCACTTTGAGGCGCGCTTGACGCCCATTACCGATCCCGACTTGGTGGTCGAGTGGTATTTCAATGGCAAGAAGCTGCCCCATGGCCATCGCTTCCGCACTTTCCACGACTTTGGCATTGTCATCCTGGATATCCTGTATTGCTATGAGGAGAACTCTGGTGTTTATGAGTGCCGCGCCTACAACAAATATGGCGAGGATGTCACCCGCGCCAGCCTGAAGTGCGCCTCCAAGGCCAGCCTGATCTTGGACTCCCAGCTGCCACGTGGCATGGAGGGCGGTCTGGAGAAGATTGCCAATCTGGAGTATAGCATGGTGCGTACCCGCGAGGAGACCACCGAGGAGACCAGAGGCAAGGCACCAGTGTTCACTGTGCCCCTGGAGAACATTGACAATCTGCGCGAGGGCGAGAACGCTCACTTTGAGGCTCGCATCACGCCTGCTGATGACCCCAAGCTGAAGGTGGAGTGGTACTGGAATGGCCGTCCATTGAAGGCTGGCTCTCGGTTCCGCACTTTCTGCGACTTTGGTTTCGTTATTCTGGAAATTTCTCCAGTCTACCCGGAGGAYTCTGGTGAATACTCGTGCCGTGCCATCAATGAGTATGGTGAGGCAGTGACYAGCGCAACAATGAAGATTCAAGGCAAGCGTAGCATCATTATGGAATCGCAGCTGCCCAAGGGCATGGAAGGCACCATCGATCGCATCGCTGAGCTGGAAGGTCTGGGCTCTCGCAGCACAGAGTTTGTGCCGGAGGACGATACAGGCAAGCCACCCGAGTTCATTACGACACCATTCGACATGGTCATCGGAGAGAACTCGCTGGCCCACTTCGAGTGTCGCCTGCAGCCCATCAACGATCCGTCCATGCGCGTGGACTGGTTCCACAACGGCAAGGCCTTGTGGGCCGGCTCCCGCATCAAGACCATCAACGACTTTGGCTTTGTCATCCTGGAGATCGCCGGCTGCTAYCARCGAGATACGGGTCTGTATACCTGCAAGGCAACCAACAAGCACGGCGAGGCCACCGTCTCCTGCAAATTGCAGGTCAAGGGTCGCCAGGGCATTGTCATGGAGCCGCAGCTGCCCTCGAACTTCCGCACTGGCACTGAGAGCCTGCAGAAGCTGGAAGAGAAYATGCACAAGCGTGAAGAGATGGTCATCGATGAGGAGCAGCCAAATCCACCCAAGTTCATTGAGGAGATCAAGGACAACTTGGACGTGCCCGAGGGCGGACCAATTCACTTCGATTGCCGCGTAGAGCCCGTTGGTGATCCAACAATGCGCATTGAATGGTACTACAATGGCCGCGTCATGGCCACTGGCTCCAGAGTTCATCAACTGAACGACTTTGGCTTCATTGCATTGGATATTGACTACATCTATGCCAGGGACTCTGGCGAATATACCTGCCGCGCCACCAACAAGTGGGGCAGTGCCACCACCACCGCCAAGGTCACCTGCAAGGGCAAGCACAGCATTGTCTACGAATCACAGCTGCCCGAGGGCATGACCGCCGAGAAGTTGAAGGAACTGGAACGTGGACGCATACCAGAGGCACCCAAGGTTGTCGAAGARCAGTACGGACCACCGAAGTTCATCACCCAGATCGCATCCTGCACMGCCGAGGAGTCTGAAGCTGTYCGATTCGAGTGCCAAGTGGAGCCAAAGACCGATCCCAATCTGCGCGTTGAATGGTATCGCAATGGCAAGCCTTTGCCACTGGGTCATCGCTATAGGAACGTCTTCGACATGGGCTTCGTCTCGCTGGATATTTTGTATGTGTACAGCGACGACTCTGGTGAATACGTTTGCCGTGCCGTCAACAAGTACGGCGAAGATCGCACCAAGGCCACCGTCTCCTGCAAGAGTAAGTCATCTAGCACATGACTCTTATCTATTATATCTAATCTATTTCGATTCGTATTAGAATTGCCTACGATTCTGCTGCAAAATCAAGTGCCACGTGGCATGAAGCGCTCGGAAACGCTCACCCAAATGGAGGCCACCATCAAGAAGTACACCTCTGAGGTGCATTTGACCGAGGATGATCTCTTCGATCCCGATCGYAAGCAGCCTCCTCGCTTTGTCACGCAGATCAAGGAGCAGCTGACGCTGACGGAAATGGCTAAGACTAAGTTTGAGTGCCAGTTGGCGCCTGTGGGTGATCCGAACATGAAGGTCGAATGGTTCTTCAATGGCAAGCCCTTGCTCTACAGTAAGTGTCTACACTCGATGCCTAAAATTGTTCAGCATTTATTTATGCTCTTATTTCTGTACTCGCAGAGAACCGCTTCCAGCCCATTTACGACTTCGGCTATGTCGCCATGAATTTCGGCTGGGTTTATCCCGAGGACAGTGGCGAATATGTCTGCCGCGCCACGAACTTGTATGGCATGGATGAGACTCGTGCCATCATCAAGGTATCCGGCAAGCCGGGCATTGTCTACGACTCCCAGCTGCCTGCCCATATGCAGAGCATCGATCGCATTCGCGAAATGGAAGCTTCCTGGCAAGTGTAAGTATCTGTGGTATTAGCTGGGCAAAAGACATTGGATACATTCGCTATCTACTCCCGCAGTGTACCCGAAGAAGCTGACCCCGATGCCAAGCCCAGAACGAAACCAGTGTTCGTTAGCAAGCTGGAGCCGCAGACGGTCGAGGAGGGCGAACCAGCCAGATTCTGTGTGCGTGTCACCGGTCATCCACGTCCTCGTGTCATGTGGCTGATCAACGGCCACACTGTTGTTCATGTAGGTGCACTCCGGCGCATTTAATCGAGTCAGTGACTAATTTCTTTCTCGCATGCAGGGCTCGCGTTACAAGCTGACCAACGATGGCATGTTCCATCTTGATATACCCAAGACGCGTCAATATGATACCGGCAAGGTAGAGGTTATAGCGCGCAATTCTGTGGGCGAATCGATTGCTTCGACCGAACTGAATGTTGTCGCACGCTCTGATGACTACCGCAATGTTCTCAAGAACTCACCACGCCGTAAGTCACACGCACACACACACCCATACACTCTTGCTATAAACACAGATTGTTATACAATCAGATATATCTAAACAGCTATATGAAATTAACACGAATTTTTAAATGCAGTAGTTCTTAGCTGGCAAAACTAAAAAAGAAACACACAAGTGATATCACATTAAATATCGCATTGTAAATATACATACACATACTCTTTTATATTATATATATAGTTCACATAAAGTATGCATTGCCAAGTAGAAGTAGCAGCCAAGTTAATTGCGTTTCTCAAGCACATGCCACAAAAAAAGAAAAAAAGNCTGTATAGGTCAGACAATAGACAACCACAAAATCCCTACCCACAATACACCCAGTTCCCAACTCCAAAAAGTGCTTTCCTTCAATTATCCCATAAGAGCGTCTGATTATCCACGCAACGAGCCTGCAAGGGAGCGACCCAGCGGAAACTGTGCCCTCTGGACGCCATCAATGAGTATCGCCGGATCATGGGTATTTTGGTTGTGCAAGTTTTTAGTGTGTGCGTGTTTTAAAGACTGTCTATTCTAAGCTGTGGCTGATCACTTTCAACTTTTGTCTGTCTTCATAAGCGGTTGAATTCTAAACGTAAAGGAGTTAGCAAACCTCTGTGAACATCATAAAAAAATGTACCATCCATGTGTCATACTTTCGTTTTGCTTATTTTAATTCATGTACTAACACTAAAGCTATACGAATGCAGTTTTACTTAACCAAGCGGCATGCCAATAGTTCAATTCTTTCTTGTGAATAGCTCAACATAGTCATGCCTTCTCGAAAGTGTTTAAAACCGTCAATTTGTTTTGCATATAGCATGGTACGATTACGAGCTAGCAGCCTATCAGAAGGAGCGCCAGGAGAACGAGCTGGAAAAGGTATTCGATGAGCGTAAGCAATATTTGTCYGAGCAGAGTGCGCACACCCTGAAGGGYGTTGAGCACCTGAAGCCCAAGCAGTACAAGCCCCAGACACCMGATTGGCAGCAGAACGTCAAGGCCAAGAAGAGCGAGGAGTACTACAACAAGATCCAGGAACTGGAAACCGAGCAGTTGCTCAAGGAGACCAATTTGCGCAGAGACACCCATCAATATGCCATTCCCGGCGAGAAGGTTGTCAGCAGCTCAGCTGCCAAGGGCATGGCGCACTCCTACGAGGAGAATCTGTAAGTAAACTCCAAGTCATTCAGATGAGCCTACGCATACTCATACCGAAACTCTGTCATTTATAACAGTCAAGAGCAAACGAGCACCACCCAGGTCAAGGGCGCCCCACCAAAGGGCGTAGCCCAGCCGTCAGAGTCGTCGGTGCATGGMCGTGAGGTGCACATGAATAAGCAGCAGCAAGTGCAGAAGGAGATCCAAGGTGACTTGGAGATCACACGCAAGATCACTGCCACCGAGACCACCGAAGTGGAGCATAAGGGCACCATTCAAGAGCGCGTTGTCAAGGGTCCAGTCCAACCCTCTAAGGCGCCCGTGTTCACCAAAAAGATTCAGCCATGCCGCGTCTTTGAGAACGAGCAGGCCAAATTCGAGGTGGAGTTCGAGGGCGAGCCCATGCCAACCGTGAAGTGGTTCCGTGAGAGCTTCCCCATCCAGAACTCACCTGATCTGCAGATTCACACGTTCAGCGGCAAATCCATATTGATCATACGCCAGGTCTTCATCGAGGACTCGGCTGTGTTTACCTGCGTGGCAGAGAATCGTGGCGGAACTGCCAAGTGCAGCGCCAATTTGGTTGTGGAGGAACGCAGACGCGCCGGCAAGGGTGGCATACAGCCACCAAGCTTTGTGTCCACCATTCAGAGCACCACCGTGTCCACTGGCCAGCTGGCTCGCTTCGATGCCAAGGTTACTGGCACACGCCCCATGGATGTTTACTGGCTGAAGAACGGCATGAAGATCCAGCCCAGCATCAAGTTCAAGATGCTGGAAGAGGACAACATTCACACTCTGCTGATCATTGAGCCGTTCGCCGAGGACTCTGGCCGCTATGAGTGCGTGGCTGTCAACGCCGCTGGCGAGGCACGCTGCGATGGCGATTGCATAGTTCAATCTCCCACCAAGCCGGAGAAGCCAACAACGCCCGGCAGCGAGAAGCCGCCACACATTGTGGAGCAGCTGAAGAGCCAGTCCGTAGAGGAAGGCAGCAAGGTAATCTTCCGCTGCCGCGTGGATGGCAAGCCCACTCCGACAGCTCGTTGGATGCGTGGCGAAAACTTTGTGAAGCCATCTCGCTACTTCCAAATGTCGCGTCAAGGCGAATACTATCAGCTGATCATCTCGGAGGCGTTCCCCGAGGACGAGGGCACCTACAAGTGCGTTGCCGAAAATAAACTGGGCAGCATTCAGACCAGCGCGCAGCTCAAAGTGCGTCCCATCGAAAACCTGGATGCACCACCAACCATCACCGCTCTAAAGGATGTCTCCGTCACCGAGGGCATGCCGGCGCAGTTCAAGACCACTGTCACCGGCAAAGTGAAAGCAACCAGTGTGCAGTGGTTCCGCGAGGGACAACTGATACCGGAAACACCTGACTTCCAGGTAGGCTGACCACAAATTGGACCAGATTAATCAATTAGCCGCTTGAGCTATTGAAGAGCATTGACTTAATTGAAATTTGATATCGTTGCAGATGATCTTTGATGGCAACAGTGCCGTGCTTTTGATTGGCACCACCTACGAGGAGGATTCGGGCATCTTTACTGTGCGTGTGACCTCGTCAACTGGACAGGTCGAGTCATCAGCCAAACTGACTGTTAAAAGTAAGGATTAAACTAAAAGCTAAGCCAAACCAAAACCAGAGTTCGTAAACAGCAAGAAATCAAAACGTAAGCGAACAGTGTTCGAAATCTCCAAAGAATGCTCAAAAGAAAAAAA